TCCTCTCATGATTATATAACTTGCATCTTCATAGTGAGAATGGAAATGAAATTGTGAAATGAGTTTAAAGGCATGTTGTATGAGAAATTTGTTAATCCATAGCTTAAGACTTCCTTTTGATGGATTAATCTTGTATCTTAACTTCATGTGCTATTACCATAGTGATTGAGGGGTTTGATGGTCCCTAGCTTAGTGAGCATGTTATGGCTACACCCTAATCTAGGTAGTTCTAGCATGTGGCTCTTTGAGGGATTATAGTTAAATCTTGATCCTATGATTTTCTTGAGGATAATGTAGCAATCTAGTATTGCTACATATCATTGCCATGTAGTGAAATTGTTTCCCAAGTTAATAGAAATTTAGTATGTTTATAGGATTGGTGGTGAATTCACTTCCCTAGACCTCCTTTTCTAGACTTCTTCCTCTTAAATTCCTTACATTTATTTCTTTAAGCACATTTCAATTCTAGTGACTAAGTGACAAACCAACAAACCCTTATTACCCCTTTTCATTCTAAGAACAATTCTAGACTCTTAGGTTGCCATAGACTAGTGCAGTCCCAGTGGTTCAACTTACCCGACCAATAGCCCTATTTTACAATGATTCGTGCTATTGCGAAGGTTGATGTTTAATTGACCAACCGATCAATTTTTGGCGCCGTTGTCGGGGACTGCAAACGGTTTAGCAACCAAAGTTTAGGGTTAATTTTAGTTTGATTGTGAATATTATGTCTTGTGAATATTCCTTGTGTGTTTTGACTATCTTTGTGTTTTAAGTGTTGTAAGATTCTAGGGACTCGAAGCTCGCCGTGGGAATGCTAGCAAATTGTAAGTCTAGAGGACCCCAGGTAAGTCTCGTGACTTCTAGTTTCGAGTTGTGAATATTGTGCATGTGTTAAATCTAGTTTTAGTTTAGTTGTGAAGTCCTTGTTGAGGCTCTTATCCTGTTTTAATTTCGTGTTCAAGCATCAGTCCTTGTCGTGGCCAATTTAATTTTTGTCTTGATAATTGAGGAGAAAGGGAAAATCATATGTGGAGGTTATGGTGATGAAGTGTTGTGTTGATTGCTTTGTTTGTTGTTGAATTACTCCTAAATGGAGAATAATTATCTCCCAACTCAATTCTACACACCACATGCGTTTTGTGCTTTTTGCTCTAGTAATACACATCATACAAGAGATTGTCTTCCAACAAGACAATTCTCGAATTTTTATCTAGAGCAACCAAATGCAAATTTCTCTGAACCGGGTAGTGATCCATACTTCAATGCTTATAACTCGAGTTCAGGAGATCATCAAAACTTCTTGTGGCATGACATAGGAAATTCAGCCCCACAATCTCTTAGGCAACATTTTCACTCCAATTTTCAACCCAATGATCATTATTTCCAGCCCTCTTCTTCTCATTTTCTACCGTCTCCATTGGATGAGTTAATAGCTGCCAACGAACAAATGATAGAGTCTATGTATACGCAAATGATAGAGTCCAACAAGCAAATGTTGGATGACATTGTTAGCATGCAATCCACCGCCTATTCTCATTCCCAATCTAGAGTTGATTTAGATGACCAGATAGCCCAAATTCAACAAATGGTTGATGTTCTAAATCAGGAAAAGGAAGAAGAATTTCCAATTGAACTTGTGGTCAATCCAAAAGAGAATTCTATGAATGATGAGTTTACTTCTAGTAATTTTCATCACGAGAATGTTCAAGTGGTTACCGCATGTGAAAATGAAGAAATAGTGGGTGAAGATCAAATTGTCGTCATACAAAAAATTAAAGAATTTGTGGTTCAAAATGAGGAAATTAATGATGATGAGATTGTATCCTATAAAAATCCAGCACAGCCCCTACATAATCCCTTGCTTGATGCACCTCCTTTAATGGAGGATCCTCTAAAAACATGCTTAGCACATTTTAATTATGAGGATTTTGATGTTGCCAATTCTGTTTGCGAGGTCAATTCTTCGCTTGATATTCCTCCTATTCATTCTCTTCCTTTGTCAACATCAAATGTATCCCTCTTTTGGGAGCTTGCTGTTCAGCACTGACCTACTTTGGTAAAACTGCTATAACTTTGTGCCCCGAACTCCGAATGATGATCTGTTTGAAGATTTGTAGAGATGATTCAGTGCTTTAAAAACTTCATGTTTTGATGAAGACCCAATTCTCAAGTCTGGTTGGTCGAAAATGGGGAGAAAGACAGTACTTCAGTGCTGCCAGGCAGTTCTGCGCACCTCTGTTAAGAAGATCATAACTCTCTGTTCCGAACTCCGAATGATGAACTGCTTGAAGATTTGGAAAGCTGATTCAGAGCTCTAAATCTTTCATGCTATGATGGAAGTCCAGTTCTTGAGTTTGCTAGGTCGAAAATGGCAACAAAAGTCAGGTTCTACCACTGCCAGAAATTCAGAATTGGCACCCTTTTTGTTCATAATTCCACAAGGCATCATTTTTGCTTCCTTTTTGCACTTTAACCTAAAGGTTGAGAGGGTGGTGAT